CCCCCCTCCTACCCTCCCATTAGACGGGCTGGGCGCTGCGGGGTCGGGGCTGCCCGGGCCGGTCTCCCCCCAACCCCGTTCCCGGCACCCCGGGGTCCTGCTGCCCTGCGCGCACAAGAGGGCGCCCGGTACCCGCTAACGGCCTCGGCGGCAGCCCCGGTCCCGGGGCCGTCCCTGCGGCTCCGGGCGGCCGCGGGAGGTATCGCCCTAAAAATCCCCGACACCCCCCTCCGCCTCCCGCCGGGTCCCCCGGGTCCTGCTGCGGGGCGCGTCCCTTCTCCCCCCGCGGATGGCCGGGCTTGGATGTCGCGGGGAGGAGAGCTGGGACCCCCAGCCTCTGCGGAGGTGTCTGTCCTCACTTTCGGGGTTGAACTGGGGAGCAGATAAACTCGGGGTCCGGGCTTGACTCACCCCAGGGGCTTGGTGTCCCTCCCTGGGCAAGAAGCGCAGAGGCTGAGCTGAGCCAAGCTCTCTGCTGGTAGCTGCTCCTCTCCCTTCGCTTGGGATGCTGCAAGGCACCCGGGAGGTGGGAAGCAGTTGGGGTGCGGATGTGGGAATGGGGGACCAACTCTGCCCTGCTGAGCTCTACTTAGCAGCCGGCCAGGGGCTCGAGGAAGGAAACTGCTGCTTGCCCCCTCCCAGCTCTGCGGTGGGTGGGGCCCTCTGAGCGCTTGGGTGGCTGATGGCCATCGCCTCTGTGGCTTGTGCCTGGGGGGGGAGCAGAGCATGGACCCCACAGTGGGCTCGCTCTAGGAGCGAGAAGGCTTTGTGAGCCATGCTGGGTTTGCTGCCCTCTCACCCGTGGGCTCAGCCTGGCCACAAAGACAAGGGGTGTGCTGGGGTGGGGGGATCCCAAACACCCTCCCAAGGGCTGGGGGAGGTGATGGGCAGGAGGCTGCTTCGTGTGCCTGGTGGGTTAGGGCAGCCCAGCCTGGCTCTGGGGCAGAGGACATGGCCAGCGCTCTGCATGGGGCTTGTGCCATAAACTAAGGGTGGCCATGGTGGGCTGCAAGAGCAAGCTGCAGCCTGTGTGAGTCCTGCAGATTGGGGTAACTGCTGCTTTCCACCTAGCCTCCCTGAGAATGTCTCTTGTGTTCCTCAAACTGCAGCTTGACACCTCAGGTCCTTTTCGGTTTTCACCCAGCTCTTCCTTTTTCCTGCATAGGAACATGCCTTGAGGGGCACAGAGTTGTGGGGAGGGTCTGGGAGGCACATGGGGAGCTCTCTGCTTCCTGCTGCACCCCAAATGTCGGGTGGAGCAATCCCCACCCCTGCACCCTGTCCCTGTGGGGCTCTCCCACCCGGGCTCTCCCACCCAGGCTCTCCCCTGCTGCAGCCTCCAGCTGTGAAAGGATGAAGCTGGGTTGGAGACACATGTCCTGCAGCATCCTGTCTCCCTTCTCCTATTCATGCCTTTTGACCACTTCTCACTGGATTTGGGTGAGACTTGGGGTACATTGGGGAGCTCTGTGTGACCTGGAGTGCAGCTCTTGCTAGGACCTTGCTGGCTTCCCTTCTTTGACCATTCTATGGACAGCCATGTGCATTCCTGGACATTCCCTAGAGTGTCCCTCCTCCATCCTAGGTGTCCCGTCACCTCGTGCGGCCCCTGATCCGGATGAGCCTGGCGCTGCAGTACCAGGTGCAAGAGCTGACCTCCTTGCTGCTCCAGAAGGATGCTGAGATCGAAGACTACAGGGAGAGCGAGGCTGCTCTCAGCAGAGGTGAGGAGGGATGCCTGGGGCCGAGAGAGGAACGGACAGGGAAGGAGTTTCCTCCTTAGCGCGGGGCTGGCGTGCTCTGCTCCCTCTGGCTATTACCCAGCCAGGCTTGTGTTTCATGTTCAGCCGCACCGGCAGCAAGACGGTAGCCAGAAGGCTGGGGAGCAGCCCCTGGGGAGAGCTGGGGGAGGAACAGCCCTTGACCGGTAGCCGGAGGAGTTGGGGAGTCGCCAAGGGGCTCTCCGCTTCGCCGAGAGCACCTGGCTGCTCCCCAGGAGCCGGCGGGGATGCCAGCGAGGGCCGGCCCTGGAGCGCTGTCAGGATCCCGTCCCGAGCGCTTGGAGAGCAACCAGGGGCTCCCGGTTCTCCCCGCCACGGGAAGCACGGCCGTGCCTGCGGGCCCCCTCCAGCGCCCAGCCTGCCTCGCCAAGGTGGGGGGACAGTGGGGAGGAAGCCCCCTTGGGTAGGACGTGGGTCAGGAACAGCCTGGGGGAGCCACCCGGGGAGAGGTTGTCCTCCGCTCATGGCGGTTGGCTGGGCGCTGTTTTTTAGGTTGTCCCGTGCTAGTGCCATTCTCTGTCCTCCTGCCAGAGGTGGTACCTGCCCTTCTGCAGGATCATTGATCCCCTGGGATGTGTGGTCTGCTGGGGGCCAGCCCTGCCTTGGGTATCATGGCCAGAAAGGCAATGTGGTCCAGACCCTGTACGTGGTGGCAGGTACCCCACCACAGGAGCCTGGATCTGCCGTGCAGCTGCACTAGAACTGTGCCAGCTGCCCATGCTATCACGTCTCCCGCTGTGTGCCGGCTCTGCGGAGCTCAGAGCAGCCAGGACAACCCGGTTTGGTCCCAGGGACTGCTGCAGGTGGGCAGGTGGCCTCTCTTGTCCCTTGCCTGGACAGGGCAGGAAGCTGGGAGAGAGATTTGCGCAAGTGCTACTGGGCGAAGCTGGCTGGGTGCTTCTCCAGGCAACATCTGAGCAATGACAGGGAAAAATCAGTGCTTTGACAGAAGTGCAGAGAATAATGGGGGATAAGAGGGGCTTGTCACTGTCCTGCAAGAGGAAGACACAGGCTGGCTCACCCCTCCAGAAAAGCAACTGGAGACAAGCAGTCCCCTGTCCCACGGAGCGTGGCTGTGCGGTGCTCAGACCCAGGCAGCTCCTTCAAGCTGGGAATGGTGCTGAGCATGTCCTGCCACTGTCCCCTGCTCCTCTGTGCGGGTGGGTGCAGGGACAAGCGTGGCTGCTGCATGATCAACAGGCTCAGCCTTATTCCACTGCTTCTCTATGGTCCTCGCACCTTCTGCTAACCCGGTGATGTGGCCCTAGCCCAAGGAGCCTGCTGGCCTCTCCTGCTGGCTCTGGGATGACCCTGCAGGAGCCGTTCCCTTGCAGCCCCCTCACCCCGCAGGCAGGGGAAGGAGAAGACAGGATAGGAGGTCTGGAGACCTGCACAGCCTGATCCCTGCTCTCCCTTGCAGGCCGCCTGCGGACGGAGCCCTTCCAGGAGAAGATGTTTCAGCAGAACTTCATGGCGGAGGTAAGGAGTGGTGCAAGTCCTTTCTCCTTTGGCAAAAGGGTGGTGGGGAGCTGGTGCCAGCAATCCCAGTGTGAAGTGTGCTGGGCTGGATGGGGGCACTGGTGGGGTATGGCTGGACTTGCGGGGAGAGGGGTGATGCCCACTGGCTCTCCCATGGCCCTCCTTGTGTCCTTGCACGTGGTCTGCAGGGTGAGCAGAGCTGGGGCCACACCTAGCATGGCCAGGTGGGGACGTGGCGCCCTGTTTGGTCACCCTTTCACCACCGTCTGGCTGCTGGGAGTTGTTGAGGGTGCAAGTTGGTCTGGCTGCTCCATGGGAGCATGTTATCACTGGGACATCCTCACCTGCCTCTCGCACTTGCCATGGACCCAAAACACCGATGCTGATTGCAGGCAGGGAGCAGGTGAATGAGGAGAAGCCATCTGCTCCTTTTGGTTCATCTGCTGCTTTTGGGGGTGGCTTTGCAGTGGCGCATTGCGGGGACGAGTGCCTTTCAGCCCGTTGCGCCCACCACTGTCCCCTTGGCATGCTCAGCTCTAAAATCAGGCATGTGCTTTGGAGAAACTGGAGCTGGAAGGAAAGAGTCTTTCCTCCGATCCTTTTTCATTACTGGAAATAATCACAGAAGCATTGAAATGATTCAAACCAATGTAGCAAGATTAGAAACAATTGATGCCCATCAAGGCAAAAAGACTCAAGAGGCTTCTGAGTGTTCTGTGCTCGCAGTGAAGGCGCAGGAGCTGGGGAGCAGCGGAGTCTGCTGGGGACCGGGGAGTCAGCAGAGTGTCCATGGTGTCACACGGGCTTCGAGAGGCCATCACTTAGTGAGACACACGCTGATGCTTTTGCACAGCCAGCAATAAACCTTCTGCAGAGTTTCTAAAAATTAGAGACGATGCCTCTTTTAGATGAGAGGCACTTCATCCAGTGCAGGCAACTTTCGTTTCCCCCAGTTATGATGGATAGAGATGAATTCACTGCTGGACTGCAACTTGGAGGTTGCCTAGGGACCGATGATCATGACCAGATTACATTCACCCTGGGCAAAGAAAGGACATTCCTAAACAGTAATTTATATCCTTCATGCTTTGAAAGGGCTAATTTCCCAAAGCAGGGGGAAAATTATGAGTGAAATCAACTCGGAGGAAACATTTAGGTAGAAAAATGTGAATGAAAATGGTGAGCTCTTTCAGAAGAATTTCAGAAGCCACAAAAAGCCACAATTCCACAATCAAGAAAGAGGGCAGCGCTGGCCAAGAGCCCGTTCTGGTTCAGCGGCAAAGTGAAGGCAGCAATTAGAAATAAAAGAGCAGTTTATAACAAATGGGAGAGCGGGAGTAGATAGCAATCAATATAAATTAGAAATTATGAAGTGTAGAAAATGGATAACAGAAGCTAAAGACATCAGGGAAAAATCATGGTGAAGGACAGAAGGAAAGGCTTTTATTTAGTGTCGTAGGAGAAAACCCCAAGCTCCCAGCAGCGGGATAAGCTTATTAGTAGACGGAGGTGGTAAAATGATTGATACTGGAGCAGACATGGCAGAAGCAGTCGGTAAAGGTTTCGGTGCTGTCGCTGGAAGGACGCAGGCGGAGGTGCCAGGATCGGGGGATGATGAAGTGTGTCTTTGTCCAAGGGATGGCTGAACGACATCTGCTAAAGATGAACGTCAGGCTTGAAGCTCAGAGTCCTCCAAGAGCTGGTAGGGTGTGGGGCAGGGGGGAAGGTGCTCAATGGTGCAGGGTGGGCAGGAGGGGAGTGACGCAGCCCTGCACAGAGCTGTGCAAAGGCAGCTGGTGGGGAGCTCATCTGGCAGAGACTTAAAAGATAGGAGAGCAGTTGGTGCTGTGTGTCCCAAAACCAGCCCTGGATCAGCATCGTGGGGCCGGAGCAGCGGATGGGGAATGGGAGGGTTTGGGAGAGGCTCCCTCTCTGCGTCCCCTGGCAGCCAGGTCTGAGCACCAGCCGTGGGGGAGAGACTGGTGGAGGGATGCAGTTGTGCCTTCAGTCTGCCTGGGGGGGTCTGTCCTCTCCGCATTCATCCCGTTGCTTTATAAACCCACTGATGATGCTTTTGGCCCATGTACCATCCTGCGGCAATGAGCCGTGAGATGTGAGCAGCTGCTGCCTTTGGTTCAAACGCGGCACCCCCGTCGTTCCTCCTGATGCCTCCTAGGTCTTGTGTGAGTGAGGAACGCCAAACATGGCTTTGCAGCTCTCCACCACCGGATCTGGCTGTTCAGCCTAGTCTCCCCTCTCTTCCCGCAGCAAAAGGGTGGGTTGGATGATCTTGTTATCTCTGAGCAGGTATGTCAGAGCCCCCAAGTAGTTTTGTACTCCGTTTGCCAGCTCCGAAAAGGAGCAGAAAGAGGGGCTGGGGTCCCTCGGGACATGCTGTGGGGAGCCAGGAACGCTGCGACCGATTCCCGTGTCTGGGTTTTCAAAAAGACGCCGGACAATGAGCACGGAGTCCTGGGAATGAATTGAGGGCTGGGGAGAGAGCCCGGCATTGAGAGACTTGGAAGGGAAGAGCTTCGTCTAACTAATCAGGGAGAAAATTGAGAGGCGCCTTGATTACAGTGCGTGAGGGTCTTTACAAGGAGAAAATGCTGGTTAGTGAAGGGCTCTCTTTAATCTCGTGGAGAGCAGCGGAGCACGAGCCAGGCACCGGGAGCCAGAGCCAGGCAATTTGGAGTGAGGATGGAGGCAATTGGGTTTGGTCCCGCGCGCGATTAGCGATCGGGGCACGCTCCCAAGGGCAGCGGTTGATCCTCCATCTCTTGATGTCTCCAAAAGCGGGCTGGGAGCCTGCCTGGGAGTCGCTGGGCTCTGTCTCGGGATGTGCGTGGTTGAACGTCAGTGGGCAGGAGGTCAGGGGGAGAGGTCTGATGGTCCTTCCAGCCTCCCTTTCTGGGAAATGGGGCTTCAGGCTGTGGATGTTTGGAAGAGGTAAAGCACCTCCTGGCTGGAAGGGGGCTGTGATGGTGTGCTGCAGGTCTGGAGAGATGCAGAAAAGCACTCCACAGCTTTGCTCGCTTCCCTGAATTTTGCTACATCCTCCACGGAGAGGAAAGGACCTGCCAGTCCTCCAGGGCAGAGAAGCACAGGGACGCTCCTGCCTCTCAGCTTAGACGTGCCCTTTCCCTGGGCTTTGTGTGCACTCAGCTGTCCAGGGCATTTTAACTAATCGTGGGGAGTTTTCCAGCAAAGCCCTGGGAATATTTATACGTTTAGGAAACGACGCTTTCACACACGCAGTTTTTGGCAAGGGTTCACTGCTGAGCAGCTGCCTGGGCTTGGGCAGAGCCGGAGGGAGACCAGCGGCCGCGCGCGAGCCGAGGCAAAGCCGGCAGCTTTTATTGGCAAGCCCAGGGGTTCGTGCCGTGAAGGGAAAGGGCAGGAGGCTGGGACCTGGCGGGTCAGGGGGATTTCATCCCTGGGTGTCCCTGGGGATTGCAGAGATGACCCTACATGGCAGCATAGGGTGCCCACCCATGGGTTTTGAGATCTTGCCCCAGCCTGGCTACGGCTGACGTTTCATGACACAGCTTCTGCCAGAGCCCTGCTCAATGAAGGGTGGCAGAGGCAGGGGGGGACATGTGGCGCTGTGCCCCTCCTGCTGGGGGAGGGCAGGGACAGGTACGTCGGGGACAAACTCACGGATACCATCAGTGCAAATATAGCCCCCGCGCCCCAGGATGCTTCCCCCGGGGTATTTTTATCGGCGCGCGTGGGGGCGGCTGCTCGGCACCTCCGCAAGCCGGGCGCGGGACCTCGGCAAACAGGACGCGGCGGGTTCACGGCTCGACCCCGGGGCCCGGCGAGGAGGAGGAGGATGTGCCATCAAAACAAGCAATGCTGGAGAGGAAGATAAACAAACAGGCGGCTTCCAGCGTGGCCCCAGCGAGGGCGAGCGGCAGCCCCGAGCCAGGGCTGGCGGCGGTACCGGTAGCGGTGCTGGCTGACGTCAGGGCGCCCGGGGGTCACCGTCCCTCTTATTGTTCCCCACCGGGGCTGGGATGGGGGCCAGGCACCCAGCCCCCTCCCTCAAGGGGACACAGGGCAGGTGGAGTGTGGCCGGGGCGCTCGTCAGAGCCACTGGCCATCACCACCCCGGGGTCCAGCATGGCACCTGCCTGCCTTCGGCCTCTCCTTTTTGATAGGTGCTAAAAATACGCTCCGGGGAGCGGAGCTGCTGTGGTCTGACCGAGGGCGAAGGTGGCGGTGGGCTGCGCCATTTGCAGGGTGGGGACAGCATCCCTCAAACCCGCGCCAGCCCGGTGCGGCGGGGAGGAAGCGGCCCTTTGGCTCCTTCCGATGAGGGATGTTTTTAATTAGCGCAAGGTAGCTGCGGCTTTGCAGCTGCCACTGGGGCCAGAGCGGGGCCGGCGGCATGGGCACAACGTGGTCTGCTTGTGTGCAGGGTGCATGGCCCAGGGGGAGATGCTGTGGGTGCTTGGCTGGGCTGGGGTGCCTCGGTGTGGGGTCAGGGAAGGAGCTGGTGGCCACTGTGCTGTCACTGAGTGCTGCAAAACTTGCGAGGTCCCGGGCAGGCTGGTTCAGGGCAGAGGTGGCAGCGTGGGGCTGGCTTTTGGGGATGCTCGGATGAGCAGAGCAGGTCCACGTGTTCAACCAAGCCTCCATGCTGTGCTCATCCAGCAAGATCTGCAGTGTGCCTGTGTCCTGCCCTGGATTGGGGCCACTTTTGGGGGGCCTTGCTTCGTTCTTCAGCAAGCCTCTGTCTCCTCATCGCTGCCCCAGGGTCTGGGTGCCACGCTGGAAACGTGGTAGGCAACAGCAGTGCTGGGGGGGAGCGGGGCACACGCGTGGATGCAAGGACCTGCACACTGCTGCCATCGAGGAGGAGCAGAGGGTCGCTCCTACGAGAGCACAAGAGAATGCACGAGAGTAGGAATATGTGTACCAGCACCAATGGGCACAAGGGGCAGAGTGGCTGAAGGGGATGGGAGCCAGGGTGCAGTGCTTTGTGCCCACAGTGG